TGAGGAATTCACAGTGTTGTGGCTGGCATTGCTTGGGAACTAGGGGTTCAGGCTGGGAAGAATCTTGCTAGTGGTTGTTGCTAATAAACATTGCTGGACTGAATTTACATGGTCTCTTAGAGTTCCTTGAGCTAGGCCTGACAGGTATACCTCTAAAGTAGTTGTTGCTTTATGAAACATCCAGCTGAATCCATGCATTAATTTTGTAATAAATGTTCACTGTTTGGTATCTTGAATTTTATTTACCTTGGGGCCAGTTACTTACTGTGCAATTTTTACCTGAATGTTGCCATTGCTCAATGAAACATGACAGACTTAATAAGACATTCGTGTTTGCCAATAGCTGTCCAAACAAGTATTTTCCTATGAATTTATTTCATACTTGAGGGTGCCAATCATGAAAGAAGATGATTCACCAAGTGAGATAGAGATATAGAGAAGATAGAGATAAAGAGAGCAAAGTTACAAAGCCCCCTTTCTTGTTTTAGCGACAAATGTTTGCCATGTGTTTTTATTCAACCTTTCAAAAATACAGTATTTTCTTCCTTCTAGGGTGAGGAACCTTTGCGTTTTCATTATTCTGCAGAAAAATATGTAGCAAAACAGATAGGCACTAAGTTTTTGCTTCACATCTTTAATGTCACTGAACGTGACATAGGTGCCTATTCTCTTATTGTAGCCGATAAACGTCTCTCTGCACATTTGCGTGTAATAGGTAAGTTTGATTGCTTTCATTTAATATGAGGAAGATGGCAGGTCATGTCTTCCACTTGTATGAGTCATAGTCTTTATCTTTTCCTTACAGTAAGGGAGTTGGGAGCCGCATTGACAAGTTTGGGGTTCGTCATCTTTTTTCAATCTATCAGAGACATCACACGTCTACTTGAGAGCTTAATTTGTTTTCTTAAAAAGAAAACATATTATATTGAAAATCACAAGCTTCTGAATTTTGGAAGCCTAAAAAAACTTGGGGAACTCTGGGAGTAGCAAAAAATGTGTTTTTGGGGGGAGGTGGGGTATATACAGCTCCCAAGCCAGGCACAGGTTGCTCAGTTCTGCTGCAGAAATATACTGAGATACAGATGTTGAAACTCTGGTCTGTATTTTTAAAAGCTCTCCATCAACAGGCATCACTGTAACTCATGACACTCATTGTGGGCTTTATCATCTTTTTACAGATGAACCCCTACAGTTTTTAACAGACCTGGCACCCATTAAAGTAAATGAAAGGCAAACTGCTGTGCTTGAGATCCGCCTTTCCAAAAAGATATCCAACTTTGTTTGGAAATTTAATGGAAAAGAGCTGAAGCGGGATGACAAGTATGAGATCATCACCTCAGAAGATGGCTTGACGCACACTCTGAAAATTAAAGATGTTCGCCTGAGTGACATGGGAAAGGTCAGCTTTGGAACTGGAGACCTATTGACAGAAACCGAGCTTTTCATTCAGAGTAAGAGACGCTGGCATTTCCTATTTCCTACTGCTTGAGTTTCAGGGCAAGCAACTGATGCTTAACCTATATTAAGATGATGCTATTTAGTACTGAACTGAAGGTGAAAATAGGACGCTTTGTCTTATTTTTCTGATAACTCACTTTTTCTTATCTTTACCTTCAGTTTGGTACTAAATAGTAGATGAATCTTTGGCTTTACTGACAATTACTAATTAAATCACATGTCAGTGAGAACCAAATCCTGAATATCCAAAAGAGTTTGTTGTATAAAATAAAGTATTTGGAGGTATGGCATAATAGAGAAACAAAAACATGGTGGGTGATGAGAAGATAAAACAATTTTTAGAAGCCATATTTTATGAATTTCAATGGGCAATAGAATTATTTTTCACTTGACACCTCTCCATTTCAATGCTGTGAAACATAGCATCTAGCAAAATATTGACTTAGACATGATCTGTTTTTCATCATTCTTTCATTTTCCACATTTCCACAGAATAAGGGGAAATTTGGGGTTCAGTGAAAAAGATTATCATTTGATCTGTGCAAAGACAACCTATTGTTTAGCTTTTCCTGGTTCACTCTGTGAGTAGGCAGTTTGACTTGTTCCTTGGATCCAGAGCAATGTTTCTCAACCTCAACAGCTTTAAGATGTGCGGACCTCAACTCCCAGAATTCCCCAGCCAGCAAAGCTGGCTGAAGGATTCTGGAAGTTGAAGTCCACGCATCTTAAAGTTGCTGAGGTTGAGAAACACTGATCCAGAATGTTTTCAGTAGGAAGAAGCTTCTATAGCATTTCTTATTTTATTCTTTGATTAAAAAATGATTAGAGCCTAGACACCCCAAGGCTGTGGAGCAGAAATGGCAACCTTCCTACATCACAGGATCATGCAAATCCTACTGTCCCAGCCATCTAGAGAAGGGATATGGCAATCCAATCTAAAAGGAAAGAGGAAACAGTGACATCTTAACAGTCCCCTGACCATCACAGCATCTCCCAAACTGGACACTCAGTTCTGTGTCATAGGCATTTCTTAGTTATTTTTCAATTTTTGTTTCTGGATCCTTTTTGTTCAGACCACTTCCACAAGTGTTCCCAATGTTGCCTCAAGTCCTGTTCACAATTTGACTGCCTTACCTTTCCATTATCTGCTCCATCAGTGCTACTTGTCCCTGTAAGTGGAGCAAGTCTTGGTGGCACAATTGCAAATGTCACTCCAGTTGGGGTAACCAATGGAGATCTAATGAGAAGGTTGCCTCTGAACTGAGAACAAGCCTGTCAGCCACCAAATCCACTCCTTCTCTTGTTTTTGGCAAGTTTGCAACATTTCTTTCCCTTTTTGGTATGATTGATGCAGCCCTGCCATTTGCAGTTTGGAACCAATAGAACCCAGCTGAGGCTTCTCAGGTGGTATTTATGCATCATAGGAAAGATTAGAAACATCCATTCTGCCTTGGATGCATTATCATCTCTTCCAAATGGCCTCAGCTCAGGATTCAACCCCATCTGAAACACAGTCCTATTCCAATCTCAAACTGTTCATTCATGTGGACCTGGCAGTGTGCCATACGAAGATGATAGGGTTTGTTTTTCACAAGAAAATATTTCTATCTGCTGCTTTACAAGAGATTCCAGAATTCCACCAGAGTTTTCAGAGACTCCAGCTGCAATCCTAAACCAGTGTATGCTTAGCATTCTAGTGCCAGAAATATTTTAAGGCGTTTGGAAGTTGGAAGCACCTAAGAGCAATTACACATTTTAATCCTTAAGCATGACTGTTACATGTGCACTATTGTTTCCCACCGCACACACACAAACTTTATGATAGAAGCATACAGTCACAACGGCAGAGTACAGGTGGGGAGCCTTATTAGCTCCTGTGGTGTTTAGGTAGGTAGGTAGGTGGATGGATGGATGGATGGATGGATGGATGGATGGATGATAGCTAGATGATAGATAGATAGATAGATAGATAGATAGATAGATAGATAGATAGATAGATAGATTTTCTTTTTGCTGCAAAACCACCAGTGTTTTCTGAATGAAATATGGAGATGTCCTGGAGAAAACATTACAAGTATGCTTTTGATTTTTATAGAGAAAAGCTATAGGTATTTATGGGCAATAAGACTATTTTTAAGATTCCACATCCATATTTTCATAAATTGCTTCCCCATTTCCAAGTCTTGGTCATCTTTCCATTTCCTTACTTTGCTGCACATCAACATGCTGCTTGTAGCTACCAGTCTTATTACTATTGTGATTCCCATAGATGATTTACGTAGCGTTGAACCATATGCAACCAGTATCTGTCTTCTCTCTCTTAAGGAATACCAATTAAGTTTATCAGAAACCTGAAGAATGCCCGAGTCAAGGAGAAGGGTAAAGCTTGTCTGGAATGTGAGCTGAGCAGTAAAGATGTGACTTTGAAATGGATGAAGAATGGGAAGGTGATTGAGAGATCCAAAAAATTTTCCATGAGCCATGAAGGGAAGATGGCAGAGTTGATCATAGATGATGCTGAGCTGAGTGACTCAGGAGAATATATGGTAGTTGCCATGCAAGAAAGTGACCCTACAGAATACTACAGCAATTGTAACGTAACTGTGGAAGGTAAGAGCTACTAGCTCAAGAGAATGCGGTGGGCTATGGCTTTAAAGAAGCTCAACTGCTTGGTAGAAGCCTTTTTTCTGAGTGATAAGTATTGGGTGGAAGAGGAGGACAAGAAGGCTAGTATGGCATTGTGTGGCTTTCAATCTCAAGTCACAGATGACTCCAGTCATTTCAGGAGTGCCCAACTATATCCGATGTTTGTTTGGGTTTTTTCTGAATAAAAAATGCACCTATTAGTGTTAAAGGTGAATGTGAAAGATATGCCCAATGCATATTCTTTTTCCAAGTAAACCTGGAAATTCAGCCAATTTACCCATGAAAGGATACCATGCAGGTTAGGGTAGAGAAACGAAGACAGAAAACCAGAGTCTAATTGTTATAAACCTATCCCCCTACCCACAGTGAAGGTTGTTTGTGGCACCTCAGCTATCTGAATTTTTTAAAAAAAATGTTTTCCAGTCAACATCGCTCCTGGTTAGTCAGCTAGAGGCAGTTTTTTCTCTTCATGAGTGAGATTCTGCCATTCCCACCCTCCCCTTTAATCTGCACCGGATTAAAACAACCAGAGAAGCCAGTGAACTTTATGGCTGAATGGGGATTTGAACCTGGACCTTCCTGGTTCTTGTCCAAGGGCTACTGCACCAAACAACAGTGGCTGAGATTACAGAACATACTAGATCAAAGCCAAGCAAACCATATTATGCTTAATGTAATGTATAGCTCCATCAATAAATACATAGCTCTTTTGTCATGTTAAAAGGTCTGTGGGTAGGTGAATACTTTCTGAATTCTGGTTGCAGCATCAGTCCTTGAGAGGTTGTGTGCTTCTTTTTGTCTGGATTGGGGAGTGACAGTAAAGCTGCTGGTTTTCTTATGATGATGGCGTGCAGGCAAAAAGCTAGTGCCAGCAGCAAACAACTTCTGGCTTGTGTGAGCTCATTAACACGGAATTCTCCAGAAGCTGCTCTGTGAGTGTCTGTGCCCTGTGCAAGGGATGAGCAGATTCTAAGAGAGAGGTAATCCTTCTAGCAGTAGCTCTTGATATTCTGTCAATATATATACCCATATCGGTCCCAGGACAGAGCTATGCATATCAATGGCAGGTCCTGGTCCTCTAAATTGGACTACTGTGGGGACAGTTGCTCTCCAATTATTTGCCTACTATCTGTGACATGGGAAAGGGGAAACCAATTTCCACTTTGCCTCAAGCAGCCAACATCTTGCTCCAGCTCTGGGCTCAACACTTTTAGACCCTTCACTCCACTCTACCATCCTGAAAGACTGTTGCTAAATCAGAAATGGTATGGAGATACACCAACAACCTTCTCTTAATTAATTTGCACTAGATTAATAAGGGTTACTCTTTCCCATGCTTATCTCATTCATAAATGCATATTTACCCTTTCCTGTTCAGACTTTTCTCCTTCTCCATCCTCAGAGAGATTTGCTACAGTCAAGAGTGGCTTATCAGATGTCCAAGCAGCTACAGGAGACCCAGCAGAGCTCTGTGTTGTCCTGAATGATGAGAAAGTAGAAGGTGTGTGGCTGAAGGATGGCAAAGAGGTAAGCAGTGAAGAAACCTGGGTTTTCTAGAATCATAATATTCGTATCTCAGGACTCAGCTGAGGACTCTCACAGGAAAATGGGCATGTAGCTAAACTAGAATGCTGGAATATGTGTTTTATGTGTTCTGTGGTTTTTATATTTTTAAAGCTGCACTGGGGTGGCATTTAA